TTTCAAATGTTGTATGTAGGTTAGTTTTATGTTGTAAATGTGCAATAAGAAAGGATTTCTAAATATTTCAACTGGAAAGCCCCCTGGGGATAAGAGGGGCGCGATTACATATGAAAATTACCTTTTCATCACCGTTTCTCCGTATCGCTATATTTTCGGAGTTTCAAATGTTGTATGTAGGTTAGTTTTATGTTGTAAATGTGCAATAAGAAAGGATTTCTAAATATTTCAACTGGAAAGCCCCCTGGGGATAAGAGGGGCGCGATTACATATGAAAATTACCTTTTCATCACCGTTTCTCCGTATCGCTATATTTTCGGAGGTAGGTAAGATGGAAGATAAAACGCACTAAACATGAGGGTGCAGTGTTTTTCGTTGACGTAGAAAATATTGAAATAGCAAAAAATACGATCCGTATATATTTTCTGAAAGTCAAACCAATAGTGAATTTATAACGAGTACAATAGCGAGTCCAGCTGATATTGATAGAGATAAAACAATCAACATAATAATAGGTAAGGATAGTCAAAGTATAAAAGCCTGGAACTCTGTATTGTGTTGTCTGTAATACCAACAATCATATCAGGTGAATTATCACAATTAATCATGATCGGTACATTTTTGTGCACTTTCTCTCTATGGCTGTTCACTTCTCTGAACGTATGGTAAGTTTGCGGCACATTGTGCATTACTTGAAAACTTCAACTCAATTATTTTCTTCAATTTATTTCATGTAAAGAAAATGACTTCATTTTTTTGGTTGGAACTCAAACAAAAAAAAGTAATTCTAGCTAGGAATTCTAGCATGTTAAAAGGGAAGACCTCATTAACCCTCAGCTCGCACGAGTTCAGACAGCTGGTTAACGGGAAAACAGAGAAACAGATTTAAGAGAAATTATTATAGGAATGAGGCGGTTTTCTTCATGTAAAAATTGATCTTGGCTTATTAAAATTGATTTTTCAGTGCCGCCTACACTATAAAACCGGTTACGCCCCCCATACAACATAGTGAGGGTCCCCATTGGATTGAAAACCAGCAAATGGTATATTACGTCGACACGTTCAGACCCACAATATATAGATGGGAATATTCTACAGGCAAAGTATCATCACACCGTCTAGGTAAGTAAAAAGTGGTGTTATCGCTGTTTACTTCTCAGGCTGGTCCTTTAAGGACAGTTGAATCTAACAATGCAGTCGTCTAATATAGAATGTAAGCTTTTACGGCTGGCGTCAATGGTTTTGTTGGTTTCCGGGTTTTGGCGTGTTCCTCTTTGGTAACAATCTTAAAACTTTTCAACTGCGTTTGCCGCAGTCATCTTCAGTGGAGTGATCGAAGTACTGTTCTTGACGTATCAACTGAAACTGAAGCTTTTATTTGTGTCATGTCATCTTCCTGTAGTGCTGATTCTCCGCGGGTTTTTTTCTTAGATCATCATGACTCTATTGGGATAATAATTCCGATCAAAGATACTGAGGACGAATTCGTTGTGGGGGCTGATCAAGATATATACAGATTGAAATGGCCCAAGGAGGACTCAAATGAAAAAATTGAATTTGTGAACCTGGCGAAGATACAGCCAACGAAACCAGAAAAACAGTTTAATGACGGCAAAGCTGATTGTCACGGCAGAATTTGGGCAGGTACGTAATTTCCATAAATAAAATTTATGGTTGATATAACTATCAACCAATTTTATTAAATTACTGTGCGGTTTATGTTTCATTTCCAATTTACATTCGCAAAAAGTTAATTGATTTTCTGCTGCTAAACAAATTTGCATTCACCTTTACAGTAGAATTCCGATGTACCTACCATGTAAAATGTCGGACATTAAATATTGTTGACCCTTAGACACATATATCTTATGACATATGACGAAATTCTCCTTTATTCACCATCCCTCATGCACTCCTCAATGCATGCAACACTTTTACCACCTCCAAGGGTAAATTTTCGTGTTGTGGACCCCCGGCGATTTTTAAAAAATTTTTGACTGTACTTACGTATTTTGATGCGTAGATTACGAATCCGAAAGAAAAAAGCGGCGCTCTCCCTTATTTTAAAAGTTACAGCACTTCAAAGTTCAGAAAAGGGCAACTTTTCAGCCTTCTTTTTCACCAAATAAACTATTTAAAAACACAAGCATTTATTCACTAGGTCACCTTTACATGTGTTAAAGAAGGAGGAATAAGGTGTAAAGGTGACCTAGTGAATAAATGCTTGTGTTTTTAAATAATTTATTTGGTGAAAAAGAAGAAACGTTGCCCTTTTCTGAACTTTGAAGGGCCGTAACTTTTTGAATAAAGGAGAGCGCCGCTTTTTCCTTTCAGATTCGTAATCTACGCATCAAAATACGGGTGTCCACAAAACGAAAATTTACCAAAAATATGTGACTTTGTGCCTTTTTGGCATGTCACAATCTTTGATTTTTCTTTGTCAAGGAAATCTGCATTCTTTCTCCTTTCATTTGATGTACTGTACGCGATGGGGGCGACTATGCGAAAAGACGGCTTGTGTCCTTTTGGCATGCAGCTAGGTTTGTTTTTCTGCACCCCACACTGACATCATCGCCTTCTTCACAATTTACTGGGGAGTCCAAGAATGTTGATGTTGTGTGTAACACCGGCAGCATAAGGTCATTATTATAAGATAATAGCTGTGGTACAAGTTTATGCAACACTTTGACAGAATGAAGCAATCCGTGTGAGTTTCTCATTAGTCATTGGTTGCATACCATTTGAATTCACATCCCGCTAATTCATTAAATTTGGAAAAACTGACATTCTATTCTCTTCACTGATTATCTTGTCTCCAAAGACAAATTGAAAATGTACGAAAAAGATCACAAAATGTTCTCATTGGCATGTTTTTAGGGGTACTGACTAGAAACGAGGATTTGACGGTTCAACCACATGGCGGCTGCTTGTACATGGTCACCGTCAATGGTACCATTGAAAAGGAAGAAAAAATTTCAAATACCAGCATAAGCAACGGTCTAGCTTGGACGAAGGACAGCAAAAAATTCTACTTCATAGATAGTACAGAAAGGACTGTGACAGGATATGATTATGATCAAACAAGCGGAGAAATAGGTAAGATTTTCCATCCTGATCCCACATTAGGATCATATTAGATATGGAAAATTATTGATTGTTTGTATACTCGCTGAAGTAACGATTCGTCTAGTTGCATATGAAAACATTAACATATCTGATAGAAGTAACTGATGATGTTAACCGTAACGAGAGTCTAGAGACAGCATTTTTGGCAAGGAAAATTGTTTTCAATAGTTTATGACTTGTTGGTAGGGCTTTACCTTTGGTTTTGGCAATATTCAGTTCGAGTTTGTTTTCAATTATAAATTTCATTTAAAATATAAACGATAAAACATATCTTCGAAACATCTTCTCTCAGAACTCTCTCATTTCTCACACCCAAAAAGTTTTCATTGCGTATATTTCTATTTTCAGGTTAGGCGGAAACAAAATTCAAATGAAAAAATTCAAATTTGTTGTTCTATAAATTTCATTGTTTGCTTACAATAACACGAGGTGCATAGAATATCTCTGGTGTGACCGTCAGGAGTACACCTCCAATGATACTAATTAACAAAAGAAGATGTGGCAAAAAGGATAACAAATCTGGTGTGGAAGACAGTAAAGAATCAACCATCTTTCCATCAAACAAAATACAGGCTATTTTGTCGTAACTGGGTAATGACCTAGAAGCCAAACCCAAAAGCCAATAAGAAGAAGAACTGATATTAGGTGGAAGCACAGAACTATAATAGTTCTGTGGGTGGGTACATTATTATGGTCCACAGATTAAAGTAAAGATCGAACAAAATACGAGCGATAGATGCCAATTCTTGCACCATCACATCTAATCAAAATGTTTACAAAGTTGGCTCAAACTCATTTCTCTCGTTGAGTTTTTGACAAAACAATAGCGAACCGGTAAAACACCAGGATTTCCGTGCATCTTACATGACTTATTTGTTAAACCTTTTATGAACTTTTTCAGAAAATAAAACAACAGTTTTCAACCTTGCGGATCATCCTGATTTGAAGGGAATCCCGGATGGAATGATAATCGATGACGAGGACAATCTGTGGGTCGCTCTTTTTGGTGGAACTTCTGTACGTATGAGTTGATAATAATCAAAACGATGGTAAAAATCGAAAAGATAAACAAACTGGAAATTAAGTCATTTTTTCATGCACTACTATCGCCGTTACCTTATTCCGAAGATTGAAAACATTATTTTACCAAACATGTCAAATTTGTTTGTGAGGAAAACAAGTTTCGACCTGGTTCCATCCTCTTTCCTCCTGATGCCTACTCTTCCAAAAAACTCAGATTTTGAGAGTTAACAAGTCTCTTTCTAGATTTGATAAACTATATATTGGTCACTGTCGCAGTATACTCAGGTACCATTGATGTAATGTATGAAAAATTGATATAGCGCTGTTTGTTATTGGATCAAGAATACAACGACTTCGGGCATAGGTACCTTCCCATAATTTATTATTAGTATATTATTGTTTCAGGTTGTTCACTTGAATCCAAGTACGGGGAAAATAATTAAAGTCATAACAATACCGGCGACGTACGTAACTTCTGCATGCTTTGGGGGTCCAGAACTTGACGTACTTTATGTAACGACTTCCCGCCTCCACCTTAATGAAACCGAGCAACTGAAAGAACCGCTAGCGGGGAGCGTGTTTGCTATAGAGGACTTGGGAGTGAAAGGCGTCCGGGGACATGCAGCCATATTCAACTTGTCCTGACTAATATTGAAGTAATAATATATTTATTTATAAAAACTAAAGTGTTCTTTATACCTGACCTTTTTGATTCGCCATGTTTGGCCTACACGGCGAATTTAAGTTTAGTTCTAGTAGAGAACATTCAAAGGACACGTTTTGATGAAATTAGAATGCTGTTTGAGTTTCAGTCAACTCATAAGAAGTATCTGTTTCAAAATATACACTCATTACTTATGGTTCCAACAGCGAACCAACCCTAGTATATGATAACTTTCTCATCTGTAGAACCTTCATCAATCAAGACCAGGAAAAAATAGTCCGTTGTCGACTACATCGAATCCCGAGCACAAAATCTTTATGCTGACGGAATTAATGGAATAAGTTGGCAAAATTGCACTGACTCTAATGGCACTTATTTCGATTAAATTGTAAAAATATTCACTGACATATTACAGTTTAAAGTAGACTAATAAAACGGACGAAACTTTTGAAAAACCTTATACCTAATGTATAAACATATGTTAGAAACTGGTCCCAGAACCGAGCCCTGTGGAACCCCACACTTGAGGTTTCCTTAATTTGAATTTTCATTAGTACTTACTATTTGACTACGATCAGTAGGTATGATTTTATCAATTGATAAGAGAGTCCTCTAAATCCATGGTATTCAAGTTTTTGTAGCAGTATTCCATATTGGATTAGAGCAATAGGTTCCCTTGGAATTTTGACACAGAAGCGCATAATATAAAGGCAACATCAACTTCATTTTGACTTTGAAATAAAACACATTGCCAGTAATAATGTCCTGTTTATTATTACTCTCTGTCCGAGGTAGATATACAATCAACAAAAAGGTGAAAACAAATACTGTAGATGAACAAATCATGCTTTGGTCGGATATCGCTTTAAACATATATGTTGAACATAGGGCTCTTTTCAAAAAATATCACAGATAGATTTCACAGATACGCCTGTTGACAGGATTCCGGATAAAAAACCAAATGAAGAGTTATTATTGTCACAATTTTACTGCATAGTGTCATGCCAAAACCCATTTCCCAATGTTATCAAAAAGTATTAGAGAAGTGGGAGAAGGATAAATCTGTCTATTCAGATGACAAAAATGAAGGTTTCCTTCGAAAAACTACATGATTTAGTAAATGTTACAAACAGTATATTTCAACCAAAAATTCCCTTCAGGCTTGACGAATTATTTTATTTCAAAAACTCATACGGGAAAAATTCCTCAAATTCTGTATGAATTTTGCTAGTATCACCATTCTTCAAAAACAACAAAGACCTTTTAAAATAAGTGTCACTGATGACTGCTCCTAACAAGAAATCATCAACGAAATCAATAGAAAACTCAAACCACCAGTAAGGTAAATTTACTAACCCATAACAATGCGATGTCTTACCTAACTTATCCTTGAAAAAGCCCTGGTGACAGGAGCATCTGAAGCGCCACAGAACCACAGAGTAACACTTTTGACAGTTGAAGTTGACACATGACAGTGTTCAGTGGCGTACACGTGGTGGAACTAAATAGGCAAAATATTTACTAAAACAAAGTGAACATGACAACAGTAGAATCTATACCACCTCCAGAAGTGCGATCTCGTTCCCCTCTGTTTGTCTTTCCAGTCACAAGCGATTTTGGTGAAATTGCCGCTAATCTTGCCACATGCCAGTATAGGGGTGTCTGCAGTATGCTGTGTAAGGCCCGCTGTGATTAGTCCCACTGTGTTTCTAAAGTGCAGACATTGTCTGCTGTGTAACTGCTATTGTCTAGAGGAAAATTGATGGGAAAATTGCTTCTGTGTTTCCTTTGGAGAGAACCACTAACATATGGGGGGGGGGAAACTCAGGGATTGATAGGGACTTTGTGCATTTTCTCTATTTCTTGCACCTCGAACATGTTGGTTTCTTTCCTCCAAGCATTGCGACAATCTCAGTAGGCCAGTTCTTTGTGGTATGAGAAGAGACAGATCCCAGTAAGGATCGAAGGTTACTGATGAGTATTCACAGTGTGTGTACTTCAACATGAATTTCAATTGACCATCGAAATGGTCTACAATCTTAGAGTTATCCATCCTCAAATATCTCAGCCAGGACTCTTCTGTTTTTTTGCTAACGCTCAATTTTTCGTCAATCTGCGTTAAGATCGGTTAAGGTTTCTCAGTAATTCTATTAACATCCTCATGAAAACCTCCTAAAAGACATTGAAGGGCATATCCCATGAACAGTGGGGCAAATCTTCGAATCTGACTTTTAAGGAGACTGTGTTTCAGCCACAATTCCTTGATAACTTCTGCGGGAGCTTTGATTAAAGAACCCTTCATACTAGAAATACTTGTATTGATATCTTTCATGTATGCATCCTTTTTTAAATATTCCAGCAACCATCTAGTGTTTGGTTTGACAATTTTAATGATCTACAATCTTAGAATTATCCATCCTCAAATATCTCAAGCAAGACTCTTGTGCTTTTTCGCTATCGCTCAAATTTTTCATCAACGTCCGTTAGGATAGGTTTAAGATTCTCAGTAATTCTATTAACGTCCTCCTTTTACCTGGTTTTTTCATGAACTTTTTCCAGGGAACTAGTGATAAACTTGCAAAACACATCTAATATATTCAGTTATGAGGTACCGAAACCGCAACATCACGAGAAATCTCGCGTAAGCCTCGGCAGGAAACGGGAAGTCTTAGACTGAATGCTGAAATGAGGTTCTGTTGGGCAGAGAGCGACCCGTTAACACTAGCGGGGGCGCCTCCCATCGGCCTGACGTGGGACTATGAGGCGGCGCTTTACCTTGCGGACGTCCTGGGGCTCAATAATGAAGTCTCATCCTGTTGATCCCCCCTTTTCCTTCACCAATCCTTTTCCCCTCTTCCTACAACTCCCGTATGCGGGAGAGATGTAAATATTGTAAATACTCTGTACAGTAGACCTAACATTTGGTAAAGAGAAATGTATAATAAAGTATTTTTGATTTTGATTTACTTCCTCATATAAACCTTCTTAAAGATATCAACGAAACTCTCGGACGTCTTGAAGGGCGTAGCCCATGAAACGAGGGGCAACTCATTGAATCTGACTTTTTAAGGAGGCTGTGTTTACTACTCTATCAGATGAATCTTCTGACCACAATTCCTTGATAACTTCTGCGGGAGCTTTGATTAAAGAACCCTCCATACTAGAAATACTAGTATTGATATCTTTCATGTATGCATCCTTTTTTGAATATTCCAGCAACCATCTTGTGTTTGATAAACATTGGATTACACTGTTCACAGCCACTGCTGTCTTCTTCTGAGTTATCTCAGATACGATGATTCTCCCCATCACTGGACCAGCGGAATAAGAAATTCGAAACTGAACTGCTTGAAACTGAATTGGAAATGAATACGGCAGACCTTGTGAGTTTTGGAAAAGTTGACAATACTAGAACTGTTCATATTCAAGTGTATGAATGAAATAAAACTATTTTGGTTCATTAAAGTGAGGGTCCCTCGTCTAACGAAATTGAATGGTCATTCTTATATGTTGAGAAACTGAAAAATCAAATACAAATTAACTTAAGGAAATTCGTGACAGTATCTCGTCACACTAAAATAATTGTAGACGCTGCTGCTTATCCACAAATTGTGCCAACGATTGACAAAATTCTCACCACTTCACTAGCGATACATAACTACCCCTCGTTATCAATTTGGGACTCGACGATTATCGTATTCGAAATTTTTTTGTTAAAAAAAAAAAAAAGTTCTGTGAGAGATTGTTCGTGTTTCTTCTTTTCGAATTTTGATATTTCGTGCAAAAAAAAATCCCCACACTCTCCAAATAGACCTCCTCGCCCCGCCCACTCCCAGGCGTATCTGTAACATCCATCGTCGCGTCATTACAACATCTGCATCTACTCAAAACAAACCCTAACCTCACTCGAAACCCACCACATGCGTCAGCCACTTCCGATACTTGTCCAGCTGCATGACGCTACAATTCTGCGAAGCGAAATTCTTCTCGCACGTCGACACCAAGCTGTACACGTTGTACAGCTCGCATCTGGGCGAGCGCTTAAACAATTTCGGCAACCTGTTTTCTTCAACGTCTGCCGGGCTGCCGCGGAACGACTCTAAGTCAAGCTCGCGTCGCGGAGAGCTGTCCAGGCCGTGATATTCGTGAGGAACTTTCAGCAGGCTGTAGATGAGAAACTTCCTGTGGCAGAACAGAGCCTCGTGTTCCGGATAGAGCTTGTTCAGCTTGTCGACGACGACGCACAGGTCGTAGAGGAGGATGCAGACGTAGTTCACGTACGAGCATATCTCTTCGAGGAACTTCGTTTTGTTCGCTTTACCAAAGAGATAAGTAAGCAAGTTGCTGCAATCCCCATCATTCGTAGTGTTCAGCAGCGTTTTCACTACGAAGTTGTAGTAGGAATTGTACAGGGTCACGATTTTTTTGTGGTCTCTCACTAATTTTATCAGATACTGTCTGTAGTGATAACCGGCGTGTTCAGACACGTGGTTGTTGATCCATTCCTGGCTGTAGCTCAGTTCCGAGTAGACGATGTTGCTGATGGATTGGTTCTTGGGCACGATGTTCTCCAAGCACCTGGAAGTAATCAATGGTATTACGTCAATGTTACCTATTGTACGATAGGTTGCCTAATGAAATGCTGAAACTCTTCGGATATCTTTACTGGAATGTTTTGAATTACCGCCATTTCAATATGACAGCTACAGCTCTAGCGAAAAGTTGGACATTTTTGAACTTATACGCAACGTTTTGACATACGCGCGCTATTTGTGTTGTTTACAGTAACTTAAAAGATTCATCTCGGCCCAAAAATAGAATTGAATGGAGTAGCGCCTCTACTGCGCCCCCCCCCCACTCCACCACTTTTCGTCGAGCAATCAGAAGCTACCGCGCGCATAGTGTGAAGAGCATCGAGTAGATTCATTTGATAGATAACGGCGCGGTGGAATTACAAAAAAATACGGTAAAAAAGAGTCGTTCGCTGTATGAACAAGTCTCGTCGACTTTTATAAACCACTATTTAAAAAATTTAGCATCTCACCACTGCTGTGTCTCTACATATTACAGCCAGTGTTATTCATCTACGATAATAAACACCTACATCCAAAAAATCCTGATATACATTATAATGCTACTCGGGGTGAAACTACTTTATACCACCCCTGCTCTCGCTCGAGTGTGCGTCAAAATTCCACAAAATACTTGGGTATTAAATGCTTCAATGAAATAACTTGTATTGGGATCAATAAAAGTATGGAATGAACTACATGGTTTCTTGTTGGATAACTTTTTCTACTGTATGGATGAATTTCTTGCTTTCAGTGCTTAGATAAATGACCTAGTTTCTTTCATACATGTAGTCTTTCTTTTTAATTAATTCAAGATCAAACATTTGTGTTTAGCCTTTAGCTTTTTACTTTTTTGACTGGTCCAATAAATTTTCTCATGTATTTAATCTTGAAATTGTGTATGTGTGAAAATTTTAGTCATTATGAATGAAACAACAAGTACACCCCCAGTCAATACCACGCTGGTCATTGAATTATATCCGACAGACATTTACGCAAGATATCTCACAGAGATTATTCTTGCAGTCTACTTTACTTTTGATTGAATCGTAGATAACCTTTCAAAGTGGTTCAGAATACACTTACCAGATGCGATGGTTCCAGCTATGATAATTATTAGGAGATTTCTCAGACGCCAAATTAGTTACGAAAAGCTCATTCTGCAACAGGGCCAATGGAATATGTAAATTGTTCGCGGCCATTTTATCTAGAATCCTTTTCAGTAACCAACGTCGATACCCAAAAGCTTCATTGGATTTACTTTTGCGAGTCAAGACAACTTTACTGAAAAATTGAGGTTATTTTTAAAACATCAGAACTACTTAGATGGGCTATTGTTAAAACACATGAGAAAAAACTTGTAGGCTTTCTACTCCTCCGTCATTGAACAAAAATTGTGGAAAATGTCCCAAAAGAGGAAGAAAGAAAATAACTACTTTATGGGTTATATTTACTTTTTGCAGCATCATGCAAAAAGATTAGATTTGAAGGAACCTATCTTGGTTTTTTGAAAATCATCCTCTGAAATAGTTCGTGCAGTGTTTAGCCCTGATGATTACCTAAAATACAGTTCTTCTTCCACAGCCAGAATGTCTTTTTCCACCAAATCCCTCTTCATATTCCAAAAAGTAGTAACATCGGGATTTATGAGAAGTGCTCCTATCAGTAAGTGATTCAGGTCTTCCATTTTCGAGAAAGGCAACTTTCCTCTTCTTAGGGCTTCCCTACTGTCTAGCAGCACCAAAGATGCATAATTATATACAAGTTTAACGCACCATGATTCTAGGCCAAGATTACGCTGCTCATATAAAACAGGAGATTTGTTCTTTGTGTTGTCGTCTGTGGGAATGATTACGAATTCTTCGCTGCGGAAGGAAATGATTTTTGAATCATGTAAACATTTCGATTTCACTTACGGTTCTGAATCTCTCTTGAAAATACCATGTATTGAACGTAAAATTCTAATAGCCATATCATTGCCTTCAGCCATTTTTCGGTTGTTTTCACAAAAAATCTTGCAAATAAAGACAAATTAAACTCATGATAGATAAATTTATTTTTGGAGTTTCCGAAACATTTTTCATCACTTTTTGATTTTATCCCATATTATGACGTTCGTGTACACACATTTGCTTAGAAACCCTGGTGTTTCAGTTTTTTACCGATTCGCTTTTGTTTTGTCAAAAACTCTCGACGCGAGAAATAAGATTGACCCAACTTCGTACACATGTTGATAGATGGTGCAACAATCAAAATCTGTCGCGAGATTTTTAATGATGTAAAAAAATATTTTACTAAATATCAATTCATTCCAAAATGTAAACAACACATTGAAAATTGAATTGCAAACCTGGCAACCTGGCATTGTCAAGCTGGGTCACTTGAGTTGTACTCAGCACCTCTGTGAATGAAATGCTGAAACTCTTCGGATATCTTTACTGCCTCTCTATTAAAAATGCCGTAGGTCGAGAATTTTTGACAAATTAATTAATATGGGGAAGGGGTCCATACCAAAGATATTCTATCACAAACCACCTACTAGTAGTTTGTCAGTTTGTGTATTCTATGCAGTAACATAGTAACATTGATAGTTGACAGTTAAGGCATGATATTTCATGCTGCGCCAACTGTCAAAATCCAAGGTCACACAATTATACACGTTGATAGTATAGAGCTAATTTTTCATGTTTGTGTTTATAAGGTAACGTCATTTATTATACTCCGTATTTAAAACTCATATTTTTACGAATTGAGAGAAAAAAATTCGTATATAGTGCTATACATTGCCAAAAATATCAATGACCTCAGAAATCGAACATTTTGAAAGATAAATAATAGATATTTCAGATATTATAGAAAGAGTATTGAGAAAAGAATTGTCATGAATAATAATTTTCTTGGATGTTTCTGTATAGTTACGCACTTGTTAAAAATGTTCTACATGTGAGATGTTATGTATATGATATACCTAAAAGACGAACAAAATTATTATTATTACTGACATGGAAATTTTTGGAAAACAATACAACTTCTTTCCTTATTTCGAACATGTTTATACTTTTGAGGATTATCGTTGGTAGGGTGCGACAGCCAAAAAACTTCTTGTAAATACATCTAGAAGCGCGTCGAAAAGAGTGTTACAGTTCTTGGTGGCAAAGAAAATCGTACTGTTAACAAACCTAGTAAGCTCTGATATTTCTTTTTACTTTAGTTTCAGAGACAAATACAGTAAACACTCATTATGTTATTATTTGTTGAAAGGTTGAATATTTTCGATAACACTAGAATTTCTTTGTTTTTTCAGCAACAGCTTTCTGTTCATTCTAATATTCTAATATTGAACTGAACGCAATGCGTTAAAAAAATAAAAAACAACATACCACCTATTTATTATTAATCCAATATTGATTGAAATGACTTGGAAATATCTCTACATTGATATTAGATTATAATAAATCATTCTTAACGCCTAAAAAAGAAGTATTAAAATACTGAAATGCAGTTTTTATCTTCATCTGATAAATCAGAGATTAGCGATTGGCACAAAATGTTCGTGTCACTATAATGATAACAAACGTTTCGTAGGTACTCAAACAATATTTTTTCGTATATCAATCAATAAAACCGCTAATAAATACAATAAACCTCTAGATCATTATTAATGATCTAAATAATAAGTTTCTTTTCTACACTGACTACTTGGTCATAACACGTTTATGTGTGACAAAATTGTCGATACTTGATAACAATCCATATGACATTCAAGTGACAATTTATTCTGACATTTCCACTGAACAGTTTACAAAATCGCAACACGTCTTTTCAGTGATATGAAGCTATTGTATAGTGAAACACGTGTTGCGATTTTGTTTAGTGAAAATCTCAGAGAAATTGTTACTTGAATAACATGTTTACTTTACCCTTTTCAATATGTAGGATAGGACATATCGAAGATTTGCCTGTTATTCTCAATTATAACAAAAATTCATTCGAGGGATAAGCTAATTCCCAACATCCATTAAACCAAATGGTAAATAGTGTAATTTTTTCCGGGTTTCTAGTCCGTGGATTTTTGGAATGTCTTCCTGACGTTTCGGTAAACTTTATGGGTTAGTCTAGTAGCGAACACTCACCCACAAGGATAGGTACCTGCATATACTATCGATCCATCATCCTAGTCAAAAGAGAGGAGTTGTCTCCACTCTAACGGAACGAGCTCAAAGAATATGTGGATCGGAGCATCTGGAGGAAGAACTGAAACATCTTCAAGTGACCTTGAGATCGAATGGATACAGTGTACTCGTGATCAACAAAGCCATGAAACTGAAGAGTTTTACGGCTCAAAAAGGGAAAGAAGGCTGAGATGATTGCCTATATTTTCAGTGTTACTATCTTCATTCGGGTTTGAAGCCCATATTATGATGATGAACATGACAAAAGCCACTGATGCTCGTTGTGCATATGACTTTTTGTACACACTGTATCACAAAAAAATGTATTCCATTAGCTATGTCGACCGAAATCCCACCCCGTATCTTTATTGAAGATGTCATGTCGAAAGATATCGATAATTTATAACTTTACGACTAGGGATCGAAAATAATTTATGAGGTAATTTCGAAATTGTACAATCGAACAAGCATGTATACCAACAGAGATATTCGCTGTCGTTACAACCGCAGTGTTTCCCAACAAAATGGGACTGCTAAACGAATCAGTCACCCCCCTGTCTCACAAAGACACCATGAAATATGCCCAGCACGTGAGGGAGCATGGCATCACCCAGTTCATAAACCTGTACAAACGGCTAAAAGATAGACAGGGCGACGTACTGAAATGGGGAGACGAAATAGAATACTCCATAATCAAATTCGACCACGACCGAGAAGAAGCAAAGGTAAGTCTTCGAAGTTTCGAAGTGCTCGGCTCCCTGAATGAGAAGCAAAAGGAAGAAGAAGAGGCAGCGGCTCTATGGGGGCCGGAATACGCAGCCTACATGATAGAGGGCACTCCGGGCAAGCCGTACGGGGGTTTGCTGGCGCACTTCAATGTCGTGGAGGCCAATATGAAGCATAGGAGGAAAGCGGTTGGTTGTTGCTTGGAATCTGATGAAGCTTTAATGTCTATAACCACATTTCCAAGGTTTGTTTTTAGAAGACTAGATAATTTTTACTGTTCAGGATAACACTTACAAATTTTCACAATATAGACTCTATTTCGAGCACGCGTTTCGCTACACAGTAGCATCCTCAGATGGGCTTGCACAAATTATCGGTTTCAACTGAGAAAGTTTACCATTTGGTAAACAGGTAGTTTCAAGAAGAGGTATCCAAAAGGTAAATTATTGTTATTAATGATTCGACTGATTCTAGAAAATGTTCCGTTAAAATAAATTCAATAGTAATGACAAATTAACTTCTTGTTGGTTACGTTTACGTTTATTGATTCCCAGGGATTCCACCATGTTTGATTTTTGTCCTTTATTTTCTGTATGTAGTTACGTTGTAGTATATGACGTAGTTTTTGTTTTCCAACGTTTTTCTTTCAATTCTAATCTTCTTTTGTGGTCGTAGATTCTAAATTAATGATTTCTATCTACTACCATTCTATTCGGTTGTTTCAAAAAAGTTTTGTCCGTTTTAATGTCATGTGTCACAATCATACACCCAGACATCTGGGTGTATGGGAAACGTCCCCCAAAGTTTATATTGGAATAACATGTAGAAATTTAAAAACCAGAATATCGGAACACAAAATCAATCAAATTTCCTATTGAACGACCAACAAGAAGTTAATTTCTCGCTACTGTTAAATTTGTTTTCATGAAAATTTTCCTAGAATTAGTTGAATCATTAGTAATAATAGTTTACTTGCTTTGTTGGCTACTTTTTTTCAAAACTACCTGTTCACGAGTTAGTAATCCCTATTAATTAAGTTCGATAAATATCTTTTATTGGATCTTGTTGTTTCAGATTGGGCTGCGAGAACTTTTCATATCCATCTGCGAAGGTGACCCCAAATGAAGGACTGACGGGATCGTTATTTATCCCAGACTCCATAATACATCCTGGCCATCCTAGATATAGGAACACTACTAATAATATAAGGCAAAGGAGAGGGGAAAAACCTAATATAAACTTGCCAAGTAAGTTGCTGCATATATATCCTAATAGCTTTGTATATAGATGGTAAGTCTATATAAAAAGCTAATAGCTTCAGCTAATAGCTATAGCTAATAGATAAATTCAGTGTGTGCCAAATGCTTTGACTAACAAGCAAAAGGTGGTGTTATGAATGGACTGACCCGTTACTTTATGAAAATTAATAACACTTGATAGTGAAAATTAATAACACTTGATAACAAAGTAGCTTCCTCCTAGAAATGAATGTTAATATTTGGTTATGGATTTAAGCGCAATTTCTGTTTGGATACCTAATATTTCTAGGTTCTTTGTTGAGTGGTGAGTCCGGTGTTTTCATGTTATGTTTGAAACCTTTATTCAGTAATTGGATTTATGTTTCGAAGAATTGCATATCGGTTAGGTTAACAAATCTATCATAAATATGGTGGTCTGCAAATTGTGTTATAGGGTAATTTAATGAGTCTGTTCTTGCTAGAAAACTTTTGTTGTCTGTCTTGATTATTATGAACTTGGGTAAGTATAGACGTTATTTTTGTAACACTCGTTGGTTGACTATAGATATAAAAATACTTTTGAATCTCTCAAATTTTGCGAATAATATCTATAAAACGGCTCAAACGTTAATGAAATAGTGACAGGTGACAGGAAGACCATACTTATTTTTTTTAATGAATGCATGTCCATATACAAGTCATAATACTCATTCTAAAATTGCAGTATTCATGGACGAAAATACTAACATCCCAGTAGATAATTCCCATGAACTCGAGAAAAACGCCCTTCCCGACTGTGTTTACTTGGACGCTATGGGTTTTGGAAGCGGGTATTCCTGTTTGCAAGTCACTTTCCAAGCTTGCAACATCACCGAAGCAAGAGTATTATACGATCAACTAGCGCCTTTTTGCCCGATATTGGTGCGTTGTGGAATAACATCAAAGGTGTTTTCTGGCGTTTAATCTCATTCGATCGTGTATTCAATAACGATTCGTAGTGACGTCATTAATAATAAGGTTCACCAGAATGGAATGATTCGATTTGTCTCAGATGTCAAATTCAATAATAAAAACAAACTCTTCAATTTTCTCTAACCTCAATTAAATTCGGATTTGTGCATACAGGTTTATTTTGTACATCCTTATAACGTATTTGGTAAAATGTTTTCTGCACTTTATGAACTATAAAAATCAAAATAAAGCAGAAACTGACGTAACGTAATGTCAAATTCCGTTTCAAAACCAACCTCACGCTAGTTTTGAATTATCATAAATACGATCCAAAGTATAGTTGACGTCATCGTTTCAAAGTCAGAATGATTGTATTTGAATCACAGACGAATACGTTTTGAATACATGAGGGCCAGAAAACGCCTCAACTAATAGAAAGTGAGACGTTTAATGGCGTATGTTACAATTTTTTTTCAGATGGCTTTGACAGCAGCAGCTCCGTTCCACAGAGGTTTCATCACCGATATTGACTGTCGGTGGGATATTCTAAAAAACACTTCCGACTGTCGTACTGAGGAAGAACGAGGACTAAAACCTCTGAAAAATAATAAATTCGTTATACCAAAATCTCGTTACGATTCAATAAATTCCTATCTATCACCCGGTAGTGAAATATATAACGACGTACCTCTTTTATATCACCAGGAAGATTTTGAGAAACTGTTGCAGAATGGCGTTGACGAACTGCTCGCGAAACATATCGCTCACCTGTTCATCAGGGACACCATTTCAATGTTCGCAGAAAAGATACACCAGGATGATGAAGAGGAAACTGATCATTTCGAGGTAGTCTTTCAGAGACCTTCAATAATGATATTGATGAAAATTTCATTTTTAGAATATTCAGTCAACAAACTGGCAGACGTTGAGGTTCAAACCACCACCCCCGAATACGGATATCGGTTGGAGGGTTGAGTTTAGACCGTGCGATGTTCAAATTACAGATTTTGAAAACGCTGCCATCGTTTGCTTTCTAGTTCTTCTAACGAGGGTTATTCTTTCTTACGAGCTTAACTTCTTGATACCAATCACTAAGGTAATTCATTTGTAATTATCAGATGTAGGGAAATTTTCTTTTTTCAAATGATAATAAATAATATAGATGCTATAAGGATGTTCCAAAAGTTTTTTACGTTTTATGAGTCTACTTTGAACTGTGAATAGTGCGTGGCTCTCAATTCGTTTGATTTTTTTACGGTGATTTGTGGAGCGTGCGGACAAGCGTTGTCTTTGAGCAGGATCCGACCTTTTCTATTGACCAACACCGCCTGCTGTTGATGCAAGTTTCGGTTCACTTCGTCGATTTTCTCAGAATAGAACTCTGCTATGATTGTTTGGACCATACAGTAACCATGGACTGTTTTGGGTGGGTTTTTGATGAGATGACTCATCAGTGTCCAACCGCTGTCCAAAACGTCTCCTGTTGTCGTAGAAGATCCACTTTTCATCACACGTGAAGATCCGATCAAAAGAATTATCGTTTTCGTTGCGCACAAGAGAAGAAGAACATACCTTTAAACGTAAAATTTATGTCGATCGTTCAAATCGTAGGGCAGCAACTTTTCGAGCTTTTTGACATTCCTAAAACGTTTCAAATCATCAAAAACCGCATGAGAGCTAACGCCAAGTTCTTCCGCCATCCCACGCACCGTTTGGGATGGGTCAGCCTCAACCAGGGTCCTGAAATCCTCATTCTGGATTATTGTAGGTCGACCACTTCGGGGCTCATCTTCGAGGTTCATCTTTGGAATGAAATTATCGGAATCAACGTCGCACAGTGCAGTGCGTTCATTAACACCATCGTCCAATCATTTCATTGGGACCTTGTTGAATTTCTGAAAAAAAATTGTTTCTACAATAACCTCGCTTATTACCATAAAAAAATTGTTATACTCCACTCATTTTGTTCTTGTAGATTGACGAAAACATTTCCAATGCTCAAAAAAGAAATGCTGTGATAGAAGAAAAGTTTTGGTTCAGGCATACCGTAAATGAAAAAAACGAATCCGTTGGTGTTCAATTTGAGAAAATGACTGTTAACGAAATCGTCAATGGAAAGGTAATTATTTTTTATCGTTACTGTTCGTCGTTACATCTGCTGAAAGAGTTTTTTTTTATATTTATTTAGAAAGATCAATTTCCCGGACTCATACCAATAATAAATAGTTATTTGAGCAACATGGAAGTGGATGCAGATACACACTGCACCATACAGCAGTATTTGAAATTGATTGAAGGTAAAGCATCGGGAAAAATATTAACTGCAGCGTCGTGGATGCGCAAATTTGTTTTGGAACATTCAGATTACAGGTGAGATATATTTTACAAAGCATATAGGGTTCCTCCGTGAATCCAATGGAGGAAGCCGTTGCTGATTTTCAAGTTGATTCAATCTATAAGTCGCCCTAATATGCCAGCATATCAAAGAGGTGTCCCTGATTATCGTTTGGTATGCCTGCAGGACATTTTCAGCGTCTAGCTTATAGTTTTTCGAGGTTTTCCACTAATCGTATTCACTTTCAGGAAAGATTCGAAAGTGACGGAGAAAATCAACTACGATCTTCTTAGAGCAATGGTAGCAATAGAGACAGGAGAACAATCTTGTCCAGAACTTTTAGGTTGCCACAGCAAATCGAGGACTTGCGAAAAGATTCCTACAGCTCTCATCAACGGTTATAACCAGTAACCCAGAATATAACATGAGAATAAAGTATTATCAAACAGACTGTCTTTTTTTTATTTGCAAGGGAACCAGCCTCGATATACAGAGTGTATTCTAATTGCGGTAAAAAAATTTAAGAGCGTCTACAAAAGATACGGTGTTTTAAGGTTTTCAAAAAATCCTCAACCGACTCTGGTGAAATTTGGCCATGTTATTTTCAGTGATGAGAGATTCATTTAGCCTCAATAAGACACAGTTTAGCCAACATTATTGGCCATAAAATGTTCCATCTGGTTTACGTTCCAGAAAAAATAAATAAAAACCACTTTATTTCATATATCTCTCGATCACGCTTGAATCAAATTTCTTTCACCAAAGTCGGATAAGAAATATATGCAATAATAATATAGAAAAGGGATGGCAACAATGCACTCCCGGGCCTATTTTTGAATGAACACTTTGTCTTTAAAATAGCTCCAGAACACAACTTTACAATTTTTTCGCCTCAATAAGAAAACATTCTGTATTGAACATTATGAAACTAAATAAATATTACCAGAGTATTTTCCCAACACCAAACCGTTATTTTAACACCATGTGTGGACACACGTCTTCGGAGGAACATTCAGTATCAGTATGACGCTTCTCCAAATTATAGAAAAATTCACCTTTTTTCACTCTGATATTTTCACAACCAAGGAAGTTTTTACTCCATATCATGTAATGATAGTAAATTAGTAGTCTGTCTGTCTACCGTATAGTTCAAGTAAAAGATATAGTGCCCCCTACCTTCCAGCAGTTCCCCTTTAATAACACACACGACGCGGTACTCATCGCTACATTTAATTTTATGGCTCTTCAGCCAATCAAAAAACTCGGTTAGTAAAAATTATCCAATACGAACCGCCAATTCTTCAGTCCACGTAGACTAATTCGTTGCAGCATAATTCCTTTGTATTGGTTTTTTTGGCCTTTGACTCGCCGACACCTTCAAGATTACTATATTGGTTACTTCGACTATACTTACGTTAGAAACCAGAGTCGTTCTCTATAACCTTTTGGTATCATCAGAGGTTGATGTAAAATGGTTTTATTTCTGAGTATGATTAGTTGCATGATAATAGTGCCGTTTTTGTGTCCAACCAGCATCAGTAAAATGACCAGCATCACTTTTTACTAAAGAAACGTCAAGAATAATATTGACAGAATTAACAATTTTCTGAAGCATATCGACTATCGACAAATAATCTTTGATTTCGTGTTCCCCCACCTTTTCATTTCAAGGAATGAAAAGTACAGCAAGTGGAATAGAGAGAGAAAGAGAAATGTGCTCTATTGATGTAAACATGATTGAGTCAAAATAGGAGCAAAGCCAACTCAGTTTTACCTTTCATTGATAAATATCACCTCGAGACCATCAATTCTGTAAGGGCATTTGGTTTGAGAATGTCGATTAGTTGATGCCATACAGTCTGTTTTGTTCCTATTCGCTGATGTTCATTGTGAAAAATTGACAAATATAAATGTAGAAGCTAATCTATGGACAATTCTCAAATTACTGAACTTCTCGAAAATTTTATGATTTATCTCTTTGTAATTATCAGATATAACTGTGAATTTAATTTCAGGTATTTTTCGGGGCATACTTTAAGTCTTGTTTTTCATTGGCGGGCCCTTTTTTGACAGGACCAGTGAAGTTATAATATAGACTGGCCAGACAGTAACTCCAAGACCCTTGGAGAGATCTACGTTTTGGCATTATGTCACTCGAACACGAACATTAGACAGACGTCACGATGTTTCTTTGAAAAAATTGTTATTCTTTGTTATAACAATAAATATTCAATATCGATAAAAATTATGACAAAGACAACTGAAATGATTTACTGTGCTTCATTTCATTATTGTTCAATTAGGTGCACATTAACGACTACCAGCATGCAACCTATATTACTGATGACATAGTCACAAGTACGTTCTTTTTGTATAGTGGCGTCATTTCCAAAACCAAAAGTTATTGGCAATGAAAAGCGAGGGCACAGCACAGGTGCTGTGGCGAGGGCTAGTCCATACTGTCACAGATATTGTCATGTTAATCTGACAACTCTTTTTTAGGTTAACTTTCTCGGAAAGTGAATACATAAAATATTTACAGAAGATTAATATACGTCTGTTACACAAAATAGAGTAATGAATAGATAAATACGCGAATACAATTACAAAATGCCAATTTTTGAAACTCTGAGCAGTGATAAACAGATTGTTGTCCTCGATATCGGGGCTGCTTATACCAAATTCGGTTTTTCTGGAGAGTTCTCTCCCAGGACGATAATAAAATCTGAAGTCAGATGCAAAACTTCCAAACAATTCAGAAGAGTTTGGAATTACAAATCAGCCGAGGACCTTTACGACTTACTAGTAGATTTCATGCACAGTATTTTCTTCAAATATGCTCTAGTCAGCCCGAAAGACAGAGCAGTCATCATCGTAGAGTCTCTACTGTGTCCTACACTATTCAGGGAAACTCTAGCGAAAGTCCTATTTTCCCACTATGAAATAGCGATGTTGTTGACCCTGCCTTCACATTTGGTCAGCTTATCAAGTCTAGCTGTAGAGACAGCTATGGTTGTCGACGTTGGATATAAGGAAGCTGTTGTAATACCGGTATGCCATGGGTTACCTATCATTCAGGCCTGGCAAGCACTTCCTATCGCAGCAGAAGCTGTCCACAATAATTTGAGGAGTCTTCTATCAAGTAAGAACACGGGTGTGCAAAACTTATCAGAAGCTGTGTTGGAGGACATAAAAATCAGGTGCTGTTTCGTTACTGAAAAATCAAGGGCTGAACAACTAGCTCTTGTCAAACCTGGCATAATTCCGTGTCCGGAAGTTAAATTTCCTGTAGGCGGCACTGATAGTGTCATCGTCACCGGCAAAGTCAGAGAACGAGCTTTCGAAGTGCTCTACGAGGAAGACAATGACCACTTGTGCTTATCAACGATGATTTTGGACGCCATCCTCCAAACTGACATAGATTTGAGGCAGAAGCTGGCTGATAACCTGTTGATGATTGGAGGAACTACCATGACACCCGGATTCAAGGCACGACTGAAAGAAGAGTTAGAGAAACAGCTGAAATGCAATAGATACAGCAAGCTCAATATTAAATCCTTCGCTTTTCATGATTTGCCTTGTAAAGAGAACTATGCCGCGTGGTTAGGAGGGGCCATCTATGGTGCCACGGAACTCTTGAACATGAAAGCTGTAACAAAAGAGATGTACTTCAAGGAAAATCGTTTGCCTGATTGGATTAATCTGAGAGATAATGTAAGAACTCTTTGAGGACATCTCGGTTTTGGCAAGTCTTTTGAATTGTTCGATGTACTGCCTTTTATTTCACTCACCACAACTATCGTTTAAAATTTTGTAAGAAGTTTGTATGATTTAATGTTGATAAATGTGATGAATTAGTTTGTTTCATTCAACTCGAAATAAATGTAAGCTGCACATACTTTACTTTTATAATCTATTTATGTACTAATTTAATCTAATGTATGTTATTTATAACAATAAAAAGTTTAGAAACTAAGTTTCTGTTATAATGGCTTTTCAAAAATGGAATTTATGAAAATATACACACATTATACAATTTCTGTTCACTTATTCCGAGAAAGTAACTTTTTTTCGTTAAGGATTTGAAGTTGAATGAATAATGTAACAATACCAAAAAAATGATAAAACAAATCTCTTGAATAATAAGAGTTCATTCCTCCAAAATGTATGTAATGATAGTATTAGATTGTTTTAAAAGTTTTGTTCTTTTTGATGTACTTTAAACTGTAATATCTCAGTAAATACTTTTTAATTCATTAAAAATAAGCGTCATTTGAATCAGTGCACTATTACTGACAAGTAAATAAATTCCGTGTTCGGGATTAGATAAAGTAGACGAAGGCCGTTTTTGTCTGATCCTGATTGGCGAAGGTTCTACCGGTGAGAAAGTTATGGAAGTGTTCCACATAGCGACCGCGCGCGGTCGTTTTGGTCGCGGCAAATACGTCACACGGCATGTTGACAACGACCAATCTGAAGAAACGATTCAAAATAGACGTTGAGAATATTTCGGCGCACATTTTGAAATGTGACATAAATGTTATCTGTCATTCGTAATTCATTTCTAATTTCTTAACTTATTCCATTATTCGATCTCACAATTTATCAATGGAATAATTACGTACATATGATGAAGTAAATTTAAGAGTAGCATAAATTTAGAGTGCCCATAATCTAGGTATGCAGTAAATGGAGCTTTTTCCTGAGAATAGTACAGCGAACGTGTCACGAGAGGCAGCACTAGTAGTAGGGACAAACGTAAACGATTCGCATGTAAAACAGTGTTATTTATGTAATATTAGTTTATTATTTAAAAATATAAACCTGATATAAATTGTCTATTAATTCTTTTTTTTTCAGTTTCTTTTAAATTACGGCATGCAAACCAACGTTTTGATGTTACAACATTGTGATCCTTTACAGTTGCAAATTTTAGTTTTGCTCCAGGAACATTTTCTTCTATTAAAAACATTCTTTTTTAATTGTACTTTACCATATGTTTATATGAGGATTAGGCAGTTTTTGTCCCTACCGAACTACTAGCGCTGCTAGTGAGTGATTTGTCGTACTTCAGCAAAAAGGTTCATTAGACATGATATTTTCAAAATCCATGTAATGAAAAATTATGTTCCTGAAATAACTTTTGAATTTCTCATATGAATAACGATGAATGACATGCTCAGGTGGCATAAGTTTTCGGTTTTCACGATTATGATTTTGTAAAGTGGCATTCGACTCTTATCATAAACCAGATGAATTAGTCTGTGGAGTACTATTGCGACGCATCAACAAATATCAATTGCCTTAAAAGACATCTTGATTACACTCAAATTCAATTTGTTCAGTAACTTCACTGTCATTATATATAAAAAATTAAAACACTCCTTTTTTATAAAAATAAAGTTAGTATGCAATTATTGAAACTTATTGTTAAGACCTACTTAACTTCCTTAACACTTCTACTTCAGTTTTTCAACCTCGACATTTGTAATGTTTACATGAACGCTCATGGGAGTGATCGTTCTGAATGCTTAGTGGAACGCACTGTAAATCATTGTCAAAATACTAAACCCCTTTTCTGCGACATCTATCGGTTTGTTCAGCAACTATAAAGTCAATAACCCCTACCTAGAGTCCTAGAGATCACATTTAGCACTTATGCATGCTTTATGTTTTTATAAATGTATATGTGATTAACTTATTTTTTATATCACTGATCAGCTGATTTTATATATTCTGAGTTCCGAGTAGTAAATAAAAAATGGCAACGCGTACCATCCGGGTACTTCTTGGGTTTGATGATGTACCTCTAACAGATGAATTTAAACACATATTGCACTTTACTTTTAGCAAAATTGGAGGAGTACCAGTGAGTATTAATTTTTGTAGTTTACATACATAGTGTTTATTTTTAAATTACTTGGAGAAAATAAAAAAAAAGTTGGAGGAGCTGGGATTTGAACCCAGGACTTTCAGCATGCGAAGCAGACACTCTACCACTGAGTTACACCCCCGATGATATATAGTTGGGAAATGTTGATAAATTGATACAATGCTCAATTGTGAATATGCAAACTTGAATAATAAATTAACAAACATATAAAATATTACTTTTTTTCAGGATTATCCAACCAACTTTAAATTGGATCCGCCAATTTGTCCCCTATGCCAACTCCCAAGACCTTTGGTGATTCAACTATATGTTCCTTTAAGGGGCTCTGTATATCATCGAACATTTTATGTATTTGCCTGCATCAACCCAAATTGTTGGGGTTCAAGCGAAAGGTGAGAATTTAACCGTTAGCATATGTAAAACAACACTCACTTCATGTCTTTTTCAGTTGGTTGTGCATCAGAGTTCAAACCCCAAAAAAGCTCGAAGATCCCCCCAAGAAAGTGACTAGCGTCTCAAAGAATAGCCCTACTGATTGGTGTAGCGGTGCAGACGATTGGGACGATAATATGGCTAATGTCGAAGAAGAGAACGGGAATGTTGTTAGCAACCTTGAAAAGGTTTCTGATGAGGACGATGAAAGTTGTTCCTTAGAAGACTCACTTCAATCCTGCTTTGAAAGCATGACTGTAGACGACAGAAATGCGAATGAGGGAGCACAAGGTCTGTATTATCAGATGTCGCAATAACATATTCAAAAAACATTTCGCTTGACAGTTTACAAAACCCCGACACGTGTTTTGCTATACAGGGGTCTCTATACTGACTGAACAAATGATTTTGCTTTTATAGTAATTTGAATCGTAATGGCTATTACTACCTGACAAATTTCTACTGATAGATTAATTACATAAAATATTTACCTTTTGAGGAACAACTCATTAAACTGGAGAATAATGAATACAAGTTTTACCTGAAACCTCATTTTACTCACTTTTAAAATCTATCCTAATTGCCAATTTCATCATTGCAAATTCAATTATCTAGTTTTAAAAATTCTGGATTATTGATTCAAACTAGAATTGTTTCTAGAATTTAAAAAAAATCTGAATCAAAAACTGAATCAATAGATTTAAGAATTTGGGATTCAATAGATTGAATCCATCTATAATTGGTTTTTTATTGAGCAATAATCCTGAATTCTTAAACCTACTTATTGAATGTTAGAATCAATTCTAGATTGATTCAATCCTAGAATTCAGTGTTATTGATTCGATAGATTGAAACAATCTAGAATTGGTTCTTCTTTATTGAGCAATAATCCTGAATTCCTAAATCTACTTATTCAATGTTAGAGTCAATTCTAGATTGATTCAATCCTTGAATTCGGTGTTATTGATTCGATAGATTGAAACAATCTAGAATTGGTTCTTTTTTTTGAGCAATAATCCTGAATTCTTAAACCTACTTATTGAATGTTAGAATCAATTCTAGATTGATTCAATCCTACGGTGTTATTGATTCGATAGATTGAAACAATCTAGAATTGGTTCTTTTTTTTGAGCAATAATCCTGAATTCTTAAACCTACTTATTGAATGTTAGAATCAATTCTAGATTGATTCAATCCTAGACATCGGTGTTATTGATTCGATAGATTGAAATAATCTTGAATTTGTTCTTCTTTATTGAGCAATAATCATGAATTCTCAAATCTACTTATTATATGTTAGAGTCAATTTTAGATTGATTCATTCCTAGAATTCGGTGTTATTGATTCAATAGATTGAAGCCAAGCATCTTCATAGATTTTTGAATTACAGTGGAATGTGTTATTTATAGTTTATCTTTGATTTCAAAAGCAAAATGTAAGGTCAGATTATTTATACTATATTCGAAAGTGATTGGGTGGTGTGTTCGATGAAAGCCTACACCAGTTAAATAGGCCATCTATATAGTTTTGTAGAATCAATGTATCGGCCTCATTTTTAGTTATTTTGAAACAATCGAATCGTCAGCAAATAGCAAAGCTTCACTTTCATGGAAGCAGCGCATTTAATCGATGATGAAAAGGTTAAACAACAGTGGTTCCAAGTGTGATCCTTGTGGAGCACCCGTTGTAAACGCGATGGTATGAGAATAGTAATAGCAGTTATTATTTATTCAAATTACGTATTTACTTTCATTGCAACCACTGCTGAACTTTTTTTAGCAACAGTTCAACTATTTTTATATAGTTGAATACGTTCGTAATCGAAAGAGGAAAATTAAGTTGCTTAATGACTTTTATTCATTAAAATTGACAAGTGCATCATCAAAACCAATATCAACATCTAAACATGTCTACAGGGCACACTAAAAATTAAATGGCAGTTCAATACAGAGATGACTGATAATCAACAATTTCTAACAACCACAACATGCGTCTTGTTTGTTGTTGACCAATAAACCTTACTCTTATACTGTTTTTCTGAACAATTTGATGTAACTAAAGATTTGCTAAAGGTGTGCTGTTTCATCCTTGTAGAGTTTGCTTATAAAGAGTATTCTCAAAAAGAGCTATTTTTTTTAATTAAAAATAGACATTAGAGGATATATAGTAGTGGTTCATCACCATTTAATATGCTGCGGATCCCAGTGATGTAAATGAAGCAGAAAAAAGAAATGTTTACACATAAGGAAGTTTAAATTACAAGAACACAGTGGAAAACAAAAACAAATATATAATAATAGTTTTATTTGGAATGACTAGTTTGAGTTACAAAAAGATGTTACTTGGAACAAATTATTCTGTAAAAAATTATAGACAATCAATGAATAAATATTTTTCGAGCACTTCTGAATCACAATCAATATAAATAAAACAATGTTGAAGATTTTCTGAAAACTCAATTATCTTTCTTGATATTTTACCACAGTATTCAATTTCAGTGGAACAAAAAAGTAATGAAAGATTTTGTTACACAAGCGCCATACTCTTTTCAACAGGAAAAACTAACCCAGAGCTCCAGTAACAATCAAAGGAACTTNTCTTTCTTATGGTGTGAGAAAATTCGATCATATATCCCCCAAGTTCGAGGAGTCAGGTTGGTTACCGATTGCTAAAACCTGGCAGTTCCACCTACTCGTCAATACACATAAATTCCTCATTTAGAAAAAGCCAAATTATATTTATGAAAGATATAAAACTTTCAAATCACAGAGTAATTCGAGGACACGAAACCGTCACACTTTTATTATTCCACTACTCCATATATAATTTCAAGAAAAAGTTGAAAACATATCTGAAGTCTTCTGGATAGATAATATTGTTATGCCGTGCTCATATGGTTTTCCCTTTGTCTCATCTTTGTGTATGTTTTCCTATATATTTTACCTTATTTAAGCTAAACAAATTTTTAATTAGATATAGGAATAAAATACTTTGTCTAATTTCCACTTACTGATATTAATACGACCAAGGTTTCGGTTTTTACACCATTCTCAAGTGTTCTAGCACTAGCACATTAGAGTACTCACTTACCAATGTATACTAGGTAATTATTTTTATATTTCTATATAAAACATGCTAACCCTCAGGTTAAGTTGTAAAACANAAAAAATTACATTGGTAATCACTATTCTCAAGTATATATTTAAAGAATTATATATATTATACTCTGGTAAGAAATAAAATCGTTTAATTTCGAATCGTTTAATTCACAACCCGCCTTTTTATGAATTTACAACAAAATTCTGTGTCAATGAGGTCGGACATCTATATAAATCAGTCACTTTGAATGAACAATTCAGTCCCTGGAAGGAATGCTCTAGCTGAAAGAAAGTATGTCGAATCATCCTGCTAAAGGGTTGGCATGTATTGTAACACTGTTTATCCTGATATCATTCACGGGTCTGAAGTTTTTTGGATTGACAGGCACTTTTTCCAGCTCATCAAGTGTATCTAAGCCATCGATAACTCTAAAAAATCAATTTTGCTCAGTGAGATTTTTTTTTTTTTAGTAAAATCTACTCACTTTCCAAACACTGTATATTTGAGGTCTAAATGTGGTTGGGGTGCGTAGGAGAAGAAAAATTGGCTGCCATTGGTATTTGGCCCATTGTTTGCCATGGAAACGATTCCCTTTGTGTTGTGCTACAAAAAAAACATCAAATTTTTCTGCCCATTTTTTTATTTAAAAATGTTCGTCAATAACTACTTGACGGTACCTACATTCAAAGATTGAAATTTAGTAAGTATAACTTACTTACGAAATATACTTAAAAACTTTCTAAAAAGACAGAAAAAAATTAAATGAACTCAATAAATACATTAATATGTGAAAGTTCAAAGAGATTTAGTTCCTACCACTTTTTTGAGATCAAATTGTAATATTTAAGAGATGAAAATCTTGAAAGAGTTGAAATTTTCACATCAGAAAGTATGGTGCTGTATCAAATTTGTTTTGAACCACATAACTGAAGAGAGCTCAGCAAAAAGTAAGCATTTATAAATGACTAGTTAGTCATGATCAATATACCCCTCCATTGAAGGTTAAGTATACTTTCAAAATCTACTTTTTTTTCTCTTCGGCCTGACAATCTACACGTGAATCAGTAATCTCATCATAAATTCATCTATCTTTTTTTCGAACTGTTTCACTTACTTTCAGTTGTTCTTTGAATTCATCTTCAAATTTTCTTCCCCAAATAGAGGAACCTCCCTTGCCCGTGCCACTTGGATCTCCAGTTTGTACTATAAAGCCTTTGATATTTCTATGGAACAGGCAGCCGTTGTAGTAGTCACTAGCACAAAGAGCCAAAAAGTTTTCACTGGCTTTTGGACAGGACTCGCAAAAGAGTTCTATTTTGATGTTACCTAAATCCGTATGTAATGTCACTGACTGAAAGAACTTATTTAATTTTTGTCCATTCAAATGATTCACATCTTACCATTTTTTCAGCAATTCAATCAGTTGATTTGAAAACTAATGCCAATTTTGGTTAGACTACTCAGTAACGTCGTAAATTGACAATCTTGAGGTTATTTTATTGTTATTTTTATATTGTACTACTATTTGTTTATTTATTCATCTTAAGGTTATGTCGATGGTCATAAGCACAGAACTATAACTTACAGTTATAACTAAGTCATAGTTCTGTGGTCATAAGTGTCATTCGTTATGTCCATGCATAGACATGAAAATAATATGGACTGGCTGTAACGTCACTTTTACATAAACATCTTGCCCACTGCGTCACAGCCCCATGTGAAAAATCAAATCCCAAAATGTTTCACAATATGCAACATGTAAAACGTGACTTTGAATTTGGCGTAAAAATGAGGTAAATGCCAAAACGTGAATCTCTTCTTCTTTTATCAGTTGTTGGAATCAATAGGCAATGTCCAGATTATGACGTCATTGTGTCCATGAGAGCTAGGTTACGTTAGGTCAAACTAACTTGTTAACCTTAAAAAACAAACTTTTTCTTCTTTTTTTTTTAGGAAAGTCGTGGGTAACAGGACCATCAACCAAGTTCTTTAGAATTATTTATTCTATGGGACCATACCGCAAGGTGTCAGTGCACAGGCACCGAGCGCTTTAAGGATTTTCCTGTAGTGCTTGTGTTTTGTCTTTAAAAAAATAAACAAAAAACTGTGAAAATGACATTCTGTAGACATTTAAATTTGTCAAAATACTGGTCACGAAAATAGTAGTTGAAGGCGAAGTATTTTTTATGCTCAAATATGTGATATTGTGGGAGCTAGAGAATTTGTCGTGTTTTGCGTTTCACGTACAAAGTTCGTTGTTGAAATCCTCTCCTTACGAATTGAGATTAGATAGATGATAGATTTTATTAGTCCAATTAAAAGAACTTTTACAAGATATGGAACAAGTCACGAAAAAACTCATATAAGTAAAAAGATACAAATTTGTCAAATAATAAGGTAATGATACTAATTGAATCAAGTAATTGAACTTGAACGGAGAGATGTTATATATTATATTACCATACTCTTGATGACAACTAGATATAAGTATTAGGATTAGGAACTGTCATGTTTCTTGTTAGTTACAAAAGTACATTGTTGAATCATTAGCTGTTGAAATGAATATTTCCTTCATATATTATATATTCAATAAAGAAAATGAAATATATAACAGCATCCATCAGCATCCGAATGCTGCAAATTTTTGTACAACTGTAGTGATAACTTCATGAAAGTGACCTTTCTTGATGGTATATAAAATATCTACGGATATGTGTTTTCGGGTGTTCATCCTTTATGTGTTCTTTAAGGCAAATGTTTTTGCGATCATCGACTTGTGAAGAATACACACACCCGGATGAACACTCAAAAAAAGCAACTTCACATATTCTATTATCCGTGAAAACCTACACTGTAATATTTTTTACTTATGTATCAACAAAAAATAAAAACTATTTTTAATTTCATTTAGTTTTGTGACACTGGCAGTGCTGTCCTCGAAAATGCTATAAATGATGGAAAAGAATGCATATGAAATCATACTTCGTAATGTTTTAAAAAAATATATTATTTTCCATTCAAGTGTTTTAAGGAAACCTCCATATTTGTTGAAAGAAGAATGTGTTTTGTGAACAGAAGTGTCAGTACAAGTTTCGAAAAGAAAGCAACTATAAACTACAAACGAACAATCATTTTCGTTCTCAGGAATCATGACCACGGACTATGGAGAAACCTGAGATTTGTGGGAGAAACTTTGTTTCATCCATAAAACTTTGGTTTTTATCATGTTTAAATATATGGTTTTCTTATTCGCTGTTTTGAATGTGAATTGCCAAATTTGATAAAACTAAAATGAGGTTATAGTGGTTAGAGTTAGAGAGTAGAATATTTTCGAGACTTGAACTTTCTGTAAGGAAACTGTGGTACTGAATTTAGAAGTTGCTAATTCTGCAATTTCCCTTGCTCACCGATGAGTGGTACATCCACAGTGAACTACTTGTTAGTAATATCCGAACTTTAAAAAGTGAAAAAAACTACGATGGTTAGGGATAAAAGATTTCCTCAGTCCTCTAGTTCCAATGTGACTAGACACGTTAGTGCAACAAATAATGGACTATTTCAAATAAGAACTAGGAACTTCAATGTAAAACCCTTTCAGAATGATTGTGAACTAGGTACAAAACTATCACATCATTACGAACCTTGAAATTAACACTTTCTTCACTCACAATTTTTTTAGGGTTAGAGGATGAGCATCTGGATTTCGAACCTGAAGGAGAGTTTCCAGACCCCCCCAGCCGCACTCAGAATGTATCAAAAACATTTTTGAATCCTAGCGATACTACCTTGAATGTGTGGAAGTCTACCGGCAGTTCTAACACTCCAGACTATTTAGAAACTGAATCGGTTTTGTCTTCGCACAGGGGGTAATTCTATTTTGTAACTATGCAGGTCATTTATATAACTACAATTCAATTAGGTAAATGATTGATTCTGGTTAAATGGGTATATTTTGAATAAACCATTACAATTCAATATCACTTCTAGGAACTCGGTTAATTTATAAATTAAAAGGGGATAGACGTAATTTTTGGGAAAGAAAGATTTTGGATTTCTACTTCTCCGTCTTTATATAAAGCATGTGGGAATATTCCAAAGAAAGGAAGAAAGTACTCAATTTGGAAATCAACTCTTCACAAAGATGTGTAGATGACAGTGTTCTATGTGAGTGAAATTTCACCTCTTTCATATACGATATTGTGTAGCAATCCTGTGAATGATATCTGATTCAATTCCATAATGAATGTTTCGAGTATAAACTTGATAGGAAAAAGGGTTTTTCATATAATTCAATGTTCATATACAAGCAGTTGCTTCGAAAATATTTTTTCTTTCGTGTAATTCAATGTTGATATAAAAGTAGCTATTTCGAGAGGGCGTTTTCTTTCAGTTTGTGCCTGAAAAATACTCCATGATCCACACATCCTTGTAGGGAGTTGATTCTGAAATTAATTATTTTCTTTGCTTTGAAAGATTCCCATATTTTTTTGTATAAAGACGTAGAAGTGGAAAGCCAAAAACCTTTTTAATAATGACACTTTATGAAAACAAGTTCAATAATGGTGAATGAATAACTTCTTGATGAACATTTAAAAGAAAATTAGAATATTTGTGTTAAGTAATTTTCCAGACATTCTGGCGGTATACATTTTTATCGATTCACAGTAGACCACTGTTTCCTTTTTGAAAAGCTTCATTACGTTGGTGTTAGAGGAACACCAATAAATTGGATAATGTCATATCTTAAAGATCGCAAACAAATAGCCATGTTGGAAAATGCTAAATCCAAAGAAAAAATTGTCATTGCCGGGGTACCCCAAGGATCAATACTAGGTCCAATAATGTTCACTATCTTCGTCAGTAACTTCTTTTATCATGCACACAAGCCAAAAATAGTATGTATACCACTTGAATCAAATTTATTATGAAAATTCTGTAATTATCATCATGAATAGTGTCATTAATTTTCATTGGGAGCAGGTCAGTGTATTCATAATTTATTACTTTTACTGATATTTTATTTTTAATAACTGTTACTGTTTGTATTGAGCATTGTCGTTTCATCACCAAAATCTTGACCTCACTTTATAGATGTGTCTAAGTATTTGTATTGTAGAATTCTATGTTGTCTAAGCACAAGTTGCAAATGGACATAAAAAACAACATATGCAAATGCAACTTTGTATATGTTGTTTTTTATGTCACTATTCAATTCTATGTTGTCTAAGCACAATTTGCAAATGATCAAATGGACATAAAAAAACAACATATGCAAATGCAAGTTTGCATATGTTGTTTTTTATGTCACTATTCAATCCTATGTTGTCTAAGCACAAGTTGCAAATGGTCAAATAGACATAAAAAACAATATATGCAAATGCAAGTTTGTAACATATGCAAATTTTCGTTTGCATATGTTGTTTTTGTGTCACTATTTAATACTATGTTGTCTAAGCACAATCTGCAAATGGTCAGCATAAATTTGAAATAGATATTATTATTATACAGGGAATTGATATTATTTAAACACAATCATTCTGAAGACAACAGACATCTGGAGTATATCACCATTCCAGAGGATAGTGTCACCTCACGAACCCGGATAGACAGCTCTAGTAGCAGTAGTAGTAGCGATAATGCCTTTGTTAGTCTGCAAACATCATCTCAAGATTATGAATTATCTTCACAAGGTCAGTTTGAGTATTTGAGTATATAGTATTTTAAGTTAGCCCTATTTTGAGCAGTTCGGTAATTCAAATAACTCTTTTAGAGGATCTGGACTACAAGGGTGAATACGATGTTACGTCGGATGACGAACAAAGGCTGTTGAGGTCTGACAGTGAAACCAGTGATATTGTGAATGCACAGGGGTACAGTCCGCTACACAGTCCATCATATAACTTCCACATGATACGAAAAAGAAAGAAGTGGGATAGGTAAAATTTCATTTCCAACAGCTTATGTATTAAATCTATTATATACAATTCACGTGGCACAGTGTTAGTAAGCCAAGCCTTGGCTTCAAAAGTTTATTTTTTTCGCCAAAAGACAATGCTTTATCAACACACCAAATTCCTTTTAATCCATTTTCTTCAAACTAACGGAAGTTGCTTCACTCAAAAAATGTTCTATCTACAAACTAATAGTCAGTTTATTGATTCAAAGGACTCATTAGGGTATAGAACATGTCAGGATATAATGTCTTAGTACATGAATAGAATAGAATTTATTCGTCATTAAAAACATTACACACATAATATATAACATTTTATCAGACTAGTCAAAACAGTTGAATATATATAATATTTAAATCATTCAGTTTGACCGAGAGTGGATTGTTTATTATTCTTTGTCTGGTGTGAAAGATTAGATACTCAGTTTTTTCTATATTGAAATGTAGTTGATTAGCTGAAAACCATAATCCTAGTTTTCCAAGAAGATGGTTAGAAGCTTGTTCATTCATTTCACTGCATTCCTGGGAGACAAGAAAAGGTGAGGCATCAGCAGCGTGATGTTATACTCAGGTAAAAATTTCACTATGTCAGCAATGAATAAAGAAAATAGTATTGGGGCCAAAACACTATCCTGTGGCACTCCCAGCTCCAGTTGCGAGGCATCTGAGCGGTGCTAACTAATAGATCCGTCAACTTCTTGAAACAAATTTGGACAAACTGACTTCTATCGGAAAGATATGATTCAAACCATTTGGCTGCAATACCTCGTATGCCACAAAGTTTTTGTAGCAGTGCCTTATGAGGAATACAGTCAAAAGCCCTACTTAAGTCGCAAAAAATTCCAACAGGGGAGTTTCTTTTGTCGATCTCGGACAATACATTATTATAAAAGTCAACTGTTGCAGTTCGTGGATTTTCCCTTCCGAAAACCGTGCTGCTTGTTTGGTATGAGTCTGTATTTATTGATGAAGGGAGTTAGTCTGTCTAGCATACAATAGTCGTTCACCTTTGCAAACGGAGAGAGACCTGATACTGGTCTGTAATTGTTAATGTTGGTTTTTTCATTTTTTTATGCACAGGAGTTACCTTTGCTGATTTAAGACAGTTTGGAAATATACATGCAAATGAATGGTTTACTAAATGGTTTAGAATACCGACTATATCTTTACCAAAATCCTTTATTAAAGCAGAGGGAATTTCATCTGGACCTGTAGACCTTTTATTTTTCAGCTTTGATACAATATATAACATTTCATCTTCAGTAAATGGCATCAAAGCAATAGAGTTTGTGTTGCTCTTCCCCGAAAAATCAAATTTACCTATTTTTTTGATGGACTTTGCTACGCTCCTAGGTGCTTTAGTAAAAAAATTGTTGAATGTGTTAGCTATTATCTTGGGGTTTGTAATTTCACTATTATCATGCAGATTTTTCAAGTTAGAAGAGTTACTTGTTTCATTTCTCAGATTTCCCAAGATTTATTAAAGTACTATAAAATGTTTTTTTGCAGTTTCGACGAGATGCATGTGTTCTTGTTCGCAGATTTATAGTAATTTTGCATTTCAGCATGCTGCTTTTGTAGAATGAACAGATCTTTCAGGTTCTTACAAGAATTTTTTATCTCAGATGTAATCCAATTTTTTTTATTACTCTCATTCTTCTTGACATTGGAAAACATATCATATATATCAAAGAAACTGTTTAAGAATATGTTGAATTTATGATTTCAATCGTTTGTATTGTATACTTCACCCCAAGTTTCCGCTGTTAAGACATTTCTAAATCGTTGTTTATTGAAGGAATTGAAGTATCTTTTTGAATTTATACATTATTTTTACTGTTATAATGCATTTCCATTGAAATGCATTATAACAGTGTTCTAGCACACTAGAGTAGTACTAGAACACTTGAGAATGGTGTAAACACCGAAACCTTGGTCGTATTAATATCAATACATTAAGTAAGTGGAAATTAGACAAAGTATTTTATTCCTATATCTAATTGAAGATAAATTTCCACAAAATAAATGAGTCATCAATATCACAAATTAGATTTTTAATATTTACTTTGGAATTTATAATCTTTGTTTTTTCTTAGTTTCACAAAGATTCATGAACTACTCACTTACCAATATATAGAACTGGGTACACTGCAATTAAATATCTTAGGCCCGCTACTATTCATCTTGTATGTCAATGATCTGCCTTTACACATAAGTACGGGAGAGACATTCATGTATGCAGATGATACCTCAATAGTGGTGCATGGCAAAACGCCAGAAGAAGCAAATAACAGGGCCCTTACAGTCATACATGAATTTCATGAATGGTGCCAAAGAAATCAACTTTTAATCAATATTAGTNTAAACTGTGGTGTAAAATAAAATGCAATGCACAATGAATACATGCAGTTCCATCAATGATTAATGAAGAGAAAACCGATGACAAATTCTAACGTTTCAGTTCCTGCGTTGAGAAAAACTTGACCACTTCTGCCGCTGCCTTATCGCCTTTGATAATGTTTACCGCAGTTGTAGACGAAACGTTGGGCACAAATACTTGCAGACCACTGCTAAAAAGAAAAAATGGAAAATAGGTTTAACACTTCCATCCCAAAATTGTATACTGTGTCCTGTGATTGGGCCTAGTGCCTGTTTTGACAATAAAAGGTTTTTTGTTTTTTCAGATTTTACGCACCATACCCTTCTCCTGTCCGCCTCTGCCTGGAAGATATCGGCTATGAGGTTCCTGATTCAGACAAGAGGAGTATTAAATCCGATAAGCTTTCCAGTAGACCAGAATCTCGTACGTCCACCCACAGTAGTTGCCGTACTTCTAAGTCTACCAGTTCTAACGATAGCAAGCCTAATGCTGTCGAGGTTCAACCACCTGCGAACTTTCTCCGAGTCACTTTGAATTTGAGTCAGGGTAACCGGCAAGTGGAGCAGAAACCTACCCAAAGGTTGGTTTGCCTCATAACAGCACAAATCAGTGTCGTAACCGTTTTTTTTTAGTGTCAGTAAGTTTGTTTTTCCTCCCGGCAGTTCGGACAACTTCAAGTTGCCTTTGCCGCCCGTCAAAAGACCTCCGACTCGAATCAAAAGTCAAGCTGGTAGCTCATCGGGAAAGGCCAGCATTTTTGGTAGCAGGGCGAGTAGTACTGTTTCCTCGAATGTGAAGATGCTGCCCAGTAAGAAGAAGGAAGACGATATTTTGTCGATTATGGCGTAAGTGGTGATTCACGTATTCAGGGTAGCTGTATACATGTATACANGCTGTATCAAATTTGTTTTGAACCACATAACTGAAGAGAGCTCAGCAAAAAGTAAGCATTTATAAATGACTAGTTAGTCATGATCAATATACCCCTCCTTCGAAGTTTAAGTATACTTTCAAAATCTACTTTTTTTTCTCTTCGGCCTGACAATCTACACGTGAATCAGTGATCTCATCATACATTCATCTATCTTTTTTTCGAACTGTTTCACTTACTTTCAGTTGTTCTTTGAATTCATCTTCAAATTTTCTTCCCCAAATAGAGGAACCTCCCTTGCCCGTGCCACTTGGATCTCCGGTTTGTACTATAAAGCCTTTGATATTTCTATGGAACAGGCAGCCGTTGTAGTAGTCACTAGCACAAAGAGCTAAAAAGTTTTCACTGGCTTTTGGACAGGACTCGCAAAAGATTTCTATTTTGATGTTACCTAAATCCGTATGTAATGTCACTGACTGAAAGAACTGATTTAATTTATGTCCATTCAAATGATTCACATCTTACCATTTTTTTCAGCAATTTAATCAGTTGATTTGAAAATTAATGCCGATTTTGGTTAGACTACTCAGTAACGTCGTAAATTGACAATTTTAAGGTTATTTTATTGTTATTTTTATATTATACTACTATTTATTTATTCATCTTAAGGTTATGTCGATGGTCATAAGCACAGAACTATAATTTACAGTTGTTATAACTAAATTATAGTTCTGTCACAGATATTTAATCTGTGGTTCTGTGATCATAAGTGTCATTCGTTATGTCCATGCATAGACATGAAAATAATACGGACTGGCCGTGACGTCACTTTTACATATATATCTTGCCCACTACATCACAGCCCTATGTGAGAAATCAAATCCCAAAATTTTCACAATATGCAACACGTAAAACATGACGTTGAAATTGGCGTAAAAATAAGGTAAATGCCAAAACGTGAATCTCTTCTCCTTTTATTAGTTGTTGGTTCTCTCTTCAAAGGCCAGTTCAAATTATGACGTCATTGTGTCCATGAGAGCTAGATTACGTTAGGTCAAACTAACTTGTTAACCCACCGACAAGGTTATGTCGATGTGTTAACCTTTAAAAGCGAACTGTTTCTTTAATTTTTTAGGAAAGTCGTGGCTAACAGGACCATCAACCAAGTTCTGTAGAATTATTTATTCTATGGGACCATACCGCAAGGTGTCAGTGCACAGGCATCGATCTTAGAATTTTCCTGTAGTGCTTGTGTTTTGTCTTTAAAAAAATAAACAAAAAACTGTGAAAATGACATTCTGTAGACATTTCAATTTGTCAAAATACTGGTCCATCTATATAGTTTTGTAGAATCAATGTATCGGCCTCATTTTTAGTTATTTTAAAACAATCGAAACGTCAGCAAATAACAAAGCTTCATTTTCATGGAAGCAGCACATTTGATTGATGATGAAAAGGTTAAACAACAGTGGTTCCAAGTGTGATCCTTGTGGAGCACCCGTTGTAAACTGGATGGTATGAGAATAGTAATAGCAGTTATTATTTATTCAAATTACGTATGTACTTTCATTGCAACCACTGCTGAACTTTTTGTAGCAACGGTTCAACTATTTTTATATAGTTGAATACGTTCGTAAACGAAAGAGAAAAATTAAGTTGCTTAATGACTTTTATTCATCATCAAAACCAATATCAACATCTAAACATGTCTACAGGGCACACTAAAAATTAAATGGCAGTTCAATACAGAGATGACTGAAAATCAACAATTTCTAACAACCACAACATGTGTCTTGTTTGTTGTTGACCAATAAACCTTACTCTTATACTGTTTTTCTGAACAATTGGATGTAACTAAAGATTTGCTAAAGGTGTGCTGTTTCATCCTTGTAGAGTTTGCTTATAAAGAGTATTCTCAAAAGGAGCTATTTTTTTAATTAAAAATAGACATTAGAGGATATATAGTAGTGGTTCATCACCATTTAATATGCTGCGGATCCCAGTGATGTAAACGAAGCAGAAAAAAGAAATGTTTACACATAAGGAAGTTTAAATTACAAGAACACAGTGGAAAACAAAAACAAATATATAATAATAGTTTTATTTGGAATGACTAGTTTGAGTTACAAAAAGGTGTTACTTGGAACAAATTATTCTGTAAAAAATTATAGACAATCAATGAATAAATATTTTTCGAGCACTTCTGAATCACAATCAATATAAATAAAACAATGTTGAAGATTTTCTGAAAACTCAATTATCTTTCTTGATATTTTACCACAGTATTCAATTTCAGTGGAACAAAAAAGTAATGAAAGATTTTGTTACACAAGCGCCATACTCTTTTCAACAGGAAAAACTAACCCAGAGCTCCAGTAACAATCAAAGGAACTTCTCTTATCAGCATACAACAACAAGAAAGGTGCTACTTCAATATGATCAACTTTTGAGAAATCAACAAAAATCAAAATGTCAGTTGCTAACCCAGCTCCTACAAAATCATTTGTATTGGAGCAAAGCATGAGAAATGTTCTCATAAGTTACGAAGGTTATCATTGTCGCAGGAGTAACTCTGATCAAATTCGTGCCCAAGCCCTTGTAGAACCCCCTCCATCCCTCGTACCTCGCCGTCTGGTTAACGCAGTGCCAGGCTCCATCATACGAGTAATGCTGATTCTGCAGTCTTGCCCTTACCACTTGATAGGGATATGTCATTGCTGCCGCCACCAACTTCGAAGTAGCTGCAAAGGTCAGGTACTCAACAGTGCCCAATTTCGAACTCAATGGTTGGTTATAGTAAGAGCTGTAGAGCTTCTTCAGCTCTTCATAGACCATGAACTGAATAGCTCCATGAGAGACTCCGAAAATCCCTGGTACAAGTCCCTTGTAGTAACCCCGAACTCCATCCAGTTTGTAAATTTTCACTAGACAGTCTACCATACCGTCATAGAGCTGAACGGGGCCACTGAACTGCAGGCACAGCCGCGTCTTCACTACCCAGATTGGGTTTGTGATGAGGAGTGTAATCAAACCTGCTCCTGACGCTGTCAGAAGATGCGCACCGGCCCCCAACTGCTTGTCACTGTCTCCGTCCTGCCGCCACGTTTTCAAGGTGTTGTAGAATAAGAAGTAAAGGCCCCACGAGGATCCTGCTCCCCAAACGTTTGGAGTCACTCCCCTGTACAAACCCTTGAAGCCTTCCTGACGGTATATTGTCGCGAAAGCGTTGGCTATACCGTTATATTTCGGCGTAGATTGGAGTCTTCCGTCGTTGACGGCGAATCTGATTTTGATCACATCGAGGGGATGCAGAATGATGGTCGAAGTTACCCCTCCAGACATTCCAGCCACCAGGTGTTGGTACTTGATTTGACTGAAAAGGCTCACCTCTTGGTCCACCGAGGTTTTGGTTATTGCACTCATTTTTGTTTGTAGTTACATTATGTCTTCATTATCTCATTTCGTTATCGTCATTGTACGAAAACAGTTTAAAATTGTGCAACCGATGTGAGGTTAAAGTAAAACTCCAAACTGTCATAGCTTGGAACGCAGAATTCATATTCTTGTCAACCACAGAATGACAATTACATTGAATGACACTAGGCTAACGTTGTTACAAATTATTCTAATTGTGTGCTAATACAATGCTGTCAATGAAATCTTTATACATGCGTGATCGATTTGTTCATCCGAAATAAGTCAGCAAAGTAATGTAAACGACGTGAAATTTGGCTAGTAATTTTAGAATTTATTCGTGATTTACGTGTCTTCTGCATTCCTTTCATTGAATAAGTTTCCGTTTCTTTTGAACATTGATTGTTTGTAAGATACAATTCAATAATTTCCACCCTTCTCGTAATAGACTAAACCATTTTTTATCGAATTGAAATAAATATAGTTTAAAAAAACTAAAAAAACGCGCTGTTAAAGATTATCGAACTAAAAAGTTAAAAATAAATATAGTTTTAAAAACTAAAAAACACGCTTTGAAAAAACATCAAACTAAAAAGTTGAAAATATTTTTTTTAATAAGCTTAAAACAATACAGATCCCGAGCTTGAGAGTTACAAACAAACAAACATACATACAGGTGAAGCTAATATAAAGCGTGTAAAAAAACACAGAAATGAAGTATTCACATCAAGTACTTTACTGAAGGAAAAGTCGAGTTGACAACTGATATTTCTTAGTTTAAAAACAATTTGTAAATACATCGTTCAGTAAAACATTTGTGATTCAATTACTTGCTTGCGCGTAGCCCAGATTATAAAAACGAAAAGCTACTTTGAAGCAAATTTAATGCCCTTCAAAAGATATATCATAACATACCCCTTTCCATTTTAAAAATTGAAGAGTTGAAGTTACGGTCATGAAATGAATGTGTAAATATGTCGCCCCGGAAACAAAATTTACGAGGTTTTTTTTACTTGAGGTTGTCAACTTTGCTGGACTGTTTCCAATAGACCACCCTGTGTTTCTCCGAAAACATAGTCTTTTTTGTTCATAGGTGGCGCAGTCGGTAGGATTTACTCCCCCGCAGCGACGGCCGAAATCGAAGGCAATGAGGGCGAGGCGATAATCATCGACACCCCCACCTACCCCCAACACGACATCCCGGCTCTGCTACAGGAAGTGACCCCTTTACCACCTGACATCTGCCTGTCGAACCATCGCCGGGCATCGCTCATCCAGTTCGCCTCGTACTCACTTATTATGAATTTTGAAGTCGAAGACAATAACTATTGCTACGCCACCAGCGTAGAACACGTCAAAGAACTTCTGCTGGAGTATCGTGAAAACGAGGAGACCGTCGAGCAGACCAGTCCGGATGGGGAAGGCGCAGTAGGCCACGACTTCGAGATGTATGAGGAAGGCAATCCGGCCCACGGCGACAAGATGGGACATAACTTCGTGTCGAAGATCCAAGCGAACGGCTGGCCCATTTTGAGGTGAGCATTTCAAAAAGTCATTCAAAACGGAAAAACTCGCTTATAAGCCCGAATAACATTTTGTTCTCATGTCTGTAGAATAAACGTGCCTGACAAACGAATTCATTAGGGAAGCCACAACATTCTCATACTTGGATATTTTGTTAAGCTTTCATATCCAATCGATATATTCGTTTAAATCTATTTTCTATTACAAATAATATCGATAGACTCATTTGATTGAATCACTTGTTGACGGATGTATCTCTATTGTCCATTTGAAGGCTTGAATGACATTTAACAGAGTAAGTCCATTGGACATCAGAGCAGGGCTGCTCCTGGCTATACAGTTGTACGAATTGCTATACAATTCTATATTTTTTCGTACATGCATACCACATATGGCGAAAACCATACATTTTGACTTCATTTGGTTTTGCATTACGTCATTGATTCGAACGAGGCCACGGTTATATATTTACAAATTTCAATCACTTCGTCCTTCGATAGTCGAGTAATCTGTCTATCTCTGTCGTCCGTCTCATTATGACAGGCGTTTCCGTCTGTCATAGAAGTCATAGATCACCATCACGTCGATCACAGAGCACTTAATTTTGAGATCTGTCAAATCTGTTGAAAACCGCTGACGCTAAAAGAAAAATAAATCCAGTGAGAAAAGACGAATTTCAAATAAATATTTGTGAATGGTAATTGGTAGTTCACCTCACCCTTCTTGATATTTGTTTTAGGATACTTTGTGTTGTCATTTGATTTCATACATAATATAAGCTGAAGCTAGATTAGTGAAAGCAGAATTTTCAATTAATATTAATGCAAATAGTAATCAAATCTGTATATTTGTAATAACCACTTCGAAATATTCACATACGATGGATTGTCTGCGCATGCGCTAATCGCTTTATTCCATCTCTGCAACATGCGGGAAGCTGTCACTTGTCAATTATTCTGATGACAGTGTTGGCGACCGTTGATGCTATACAATTATAGCGAAAAGCATACATTTTCACCTGTCATTTTCGTACAATTTTGCCTTGGAGTAGCACTGCATCATAGTGACTCATCACAGTGAATAATTATTGTGAAATGTCAAAAGCTACCCGTCGAATGAGGTGCCAAAAACGACCATCATGACCTAATGATAAATACACTTTCAGGTACAGCAGAGAATTCCCCCCTTTGCTCACCCGCCCCCTGACAAATCAGCCAAAAGAGTGTCAATATTGCCGAGGAGAGGTCGTTTTTGAGTTCCAGATCCTTCCCACCATCATTTCCAAATTGACATTAATCACCGACCCGATTCACTCTGCCAGGTTAGATTTCGGAACTGTCCTAGTGTACACATGCGTTAAGAGCTGCTGCTCTCCGGATACGACCTACCGGATAGAGCCTCTCATTTTGCAGAAGGAGATTTCTTAACTGAGAAGTTTTTAGGTTAGTTTGCAAGTCTGCATAGTTTAGCAAAGTTGCTCTGAAATCGTGCACTCTGTCAGTGCTTTGTTAATGTTACCCAGAGCTAAATGAGGTGAATTTGTTAAAAATACTTTGGAAAGCATATTTTGACGTGAAAATAATTTTTCCTGCAATGAACTAATATTTTATTCCGACCTGCAGACTTGCAAAACATATTCTTCCATCTTCCACAATGATAGTTGATTCTATTGATAGACTAATTGAATTCTAGCCGTCTCTATAGACTCAGACATTGTTTTAGTTCGAATACACAAGAAAAGAGGTTCGAAGGTCTATTTGGTGAAGTTTGGCCCAGTTTTTGCGATTTAAATTTTAAAAATGTAGGTAAATAATTTTTTGGTGGGAAGAATCAAAGCAACAAAACGCACCTAATGTAAGATTAGAGCAACAAAACGCACCTAATGTAATAGCGAAAGACGGTTTGTTCGCTGGTTGAAAGTTAATCTTTGTGAAAAGCAAAGTGAACTTGAATGTGGTTAGGAACAGCAGCCGCATGGCATAAATAGATCAGGTGACGTCACAGCATAGGATTCTGAAGAAAATGGTAATCTAGAAACATTCGCACACCATCTGTTGAAAACAGTTCTCACACCAGAACAAAAATAATGTCTCTGGACGCGCGTTTCACTTATCAAGTTAGCGTAATCATGAGATGTGTTAGAATAATTCCTATGGCTGTTATTGTTGTTATATGCATCTACACGAACCATTACCTTACATAATCAGAGTCGTTAAATTAGTTTCTAGTATTTTTTTATTGTTCCTAATTATCGCACAGGCACCGCTCTGAGAGCGTCTTAATGATTTTCCTTCGGAATTTAAGACTGGAGCAAAATTGGGCGAATATTTTCTTTCAGAAGAACCTTTGAATTCATCGCCTTCGGTACTTTCCACAGAGCTTTGTATGTTGCGCTACAGTCCGTTTGGCTAATAAGAAATGTTCCTTGGTTTTTGAACGACACTCTAGAATTTGCATGCATGTTAGCATCTTTTCATCTGTGGATTAGTGAATATTATGTCTTGACGTGGCTCTTCTTCCCGTTAACTTTGTATTTTTATAGTACACTGTAGCGGTTTCTGAAGCAGCTATTCATGATAATGTGTTACGGCTTTGCTGAAAGCAGTCAATATTGCTATACAATTGTCACTGATTTGTAGCTTGTAGTGCCCATGTACACTTACAAAAAATTTTATCTAATACCAAAAATCAATCAATCTTTGAATATTTCGAAGCTAACAAAGATATCTACACCAAAACGTCCTGTACAGATCACCAAGTAATAGTAGTGGTGTAATGATTTATTTCTTTTATATTAGTGTGAACTTTTCCAAAATCCATCCAAGATCTACATTCTGTCAAAAAAGTACCAGGAAGGAATTGTCGAAATTATTTTTGTTGCTAGATTGGCACAACTGTCCTCTATACTTACGCAGTGTTCTTCTTCTTTCTTCATTGGCCACTGCTTCCTATTCAGGCGCAATTGGGTCCAGCTCAGAGTTTGAGCTCAGAAGAAAGAAACGAAGATGATGTTAACAATTTTTTCTCAATTACCGCGAAATTGTGCACTCGAAATTCTTGCCAGAAGGTGAGACAGTACGTAAAGAATATCATCTGATCGTTATGCGGCGTTTGAGAGAGGGAATTCGCAGCTAGCACTGAAGTCCATTCCAAAAAATTAATTAAAAAGTCTTTCGATGATTGGGTTGTTGTGGAATTGACTGCGGTGGTAGTGCGCCCGACTCACGATCGGAAGACCGTGGGTTCGATTCCTTCCTCGACCAGATATTTTTCTCGAGAGAATTTATCTGGTTGAAGCTGGGATGATTCTGCAACCGTATTAGGAATCACACGTTAAAAGGTGAGACCTCGTTTCTCAACTTCTGAGAGTTGTCGTTCGTATGGGGGCGACAGCTGATTAACGGAAAAACAGATTTGGAAGGCAATAAAGTAAATTTGGAGTAATAATACATATTTTGCGTTTCATTGACCAATTTCCGCTACTTTTTCGACATAGTAGACGAACATTTTGAATTTTTTCATGTATTTTAGAAAAAAAAAATCTGGACATTAAGTTGTTAAATCAAAGAAAAGAAGAATGTGTTAGGAACTTTTTTATTTAATGCTTATGCTGTTGAAGTATGTCCTATTTTTTTAGGGTAATTGATTTAAGTTACTAGGTTCAAGTGATTTACAGTTCTCTTCGTCAACTTCATGACTCCAATGGAGTTATGAAATATTCATTTTGTTATTGAGCATAAGCAATTACACATTTTTTAGGTGCCGGGAATGAACATATTAGGCGGTAAAAGTACAGCCTCCTAATTGCACCCAAAATTTTCAATGTTTAAAACTATTTATTGCCTTCTAGTACTTGTGCTTAAGTGATAACTATATTGTTGCCTATTGAGGTAATGATGGAATTGAAAAATAAACTATGTAAAAACAGATCCTTTTAACTCTTATTCATTGACAACTATGATGTGTAATATTTATAGTTATTCTTTATACAATAAAGAAATGAATATATTTTAGGTTGTAATCGATTCTGTTAAAAAAAGCAATGTAATTTATGTTATCAAATGTTATATTGTCAAAGTTTACAGATTGTCTTTTTGAAAATGAGTGATTTCACCTAGTTTTAACAGGCCATGTGTTTGTATGTTTTGGATATCATATTAAGTTTTACGGCAGGCATCAATCGACATTTTTTCATAAAGAAATGTAGTTTCATTGTCAACATGTTCTAACAATTTTTAATCAAACTTTAATTTTAACTGAGTTCATTACAAACTCATAAGTGCATGTTTTTGAAAAAATTACATTGGTAATCACTA